AATATTTTTTTTTACATTTTTCTCTATAACATTTGAAAATGTGCGTTGTTAGATGTGTATACTCATGTGAATAGCAATGCAAATCTAGAGAACCAGATCACATTTCATCAAAACTGTAGATTTATTTTGTCTTCCAAGAGATTAAAGACAAAACGGTTTTAATACTCACAATTTTTGAGAAAATATGCAATTTTCATATTGATTTCATGCATGTATCACTCAATCTAACAATGTTTAAAGTTTTTTAGGCTATCCAGTAAGTGACTATGCTTTGCCACCACCATGCTGGCCTCTTGAGATGCTAGACTGGTTTTCATACCTCCAAGGAAAGGAATATACAGATATCAAGCTGACTTTTAAAATAAAAGTCTACTAGAAGAATCTAATCCATTAAGCATTTGGTTTGACTCAGCATATATCTATTGCAAGCACCCAAATGATCCATACTTAATCCTTGTAATATTCTGGTTAGAAACCCTCAATAAATTTAACTCACTTCAGTTTAGTTACCTCTCAATTAGGTGATTGCTTCGGGCATCAAATGGTGGTGGAAAATTGCTGGGTTTATCCTGACTTTCATCAATATATGCAAAATTCAAGCACTTTTCAGAGTCATGAAACAAAATTATCATTTCTCCCAACTTTTTCCTGATTTAGTTGTTTTTTGGTGAAGCGTCTTGACTTGCAATATATGAATGTACTTGTACCTGGTGATAACTTGTGACTGGCAATATATGAATGTAGTTGTACTTGGTGATGTATCATAATGCAATATATGAATGTAGTTGTACTTGATGATACATCTTGACTGGTAATATATGCATATAGTTTTACTTGGTGATGCATCATAAATGACAACATATAAATGTTGTTGTAGTTGGTGATACATCCTAAGTGATAATATATGAACATAGTTGTACTTGGTGATGCATCTTGACTGGCAATATACAATTTTATTTGTACCTTGTGATGAATTCTGACTGGCAATATATGAATGTAGTTGTACTTGGTGAAGCTTCATGACTGGCAATATAGGAATGTAGTTGTACATGGTGATGTATTGTGTCTAGCAATAAATAAATGAAGCTGGTCTTTGTGATGCTTCATGACTAGTAATATAGGAATGTATTTGTACATGGTGATGTATTGTGTCTAGCAATAAATGAATGAAGCTGGTCTTGGTGTTTAACATGATAAGCATGACATTGGATAAAGAAGAACTTTAAGAATTTATATTGTCTCTTCACTAAAAGTAATACAGACTTTAAATATTGTTCTTTTGTACATTATATGTACCTGACATAAATTATCAGACTGACTCATATTTTTAGCAAGATAAATTGCCGATCTCAGAGACAAAACATTATAAATTGATTTTTTTATCATGTGAAGTAAAATCATAAATGAATCATGTTCAACATTTCTATTTTTTTTAATTATAAAGTTAAGGCGGTACAACAGCTGATATTTTACCATAATTAGATTCAGATGAAGCTTATATGGATAAATGATGTCCATCTCTTTCTTTAAATATGCTTTCAATCTGAATCCAGGATTGGTATTAATAAAGTATAGTCTCTTTTAAAAAGCTAATGGTTTTTTCTTCCATTGTAGCATCTATTTCCATGGCTTATAGACAATGACAGCATGCAATTATCAAGCTAATTGCTAAAACAATGCATTTTAAATTCTGAATTATGCGTAAAAATCAATCATAGTATCCATTCAGCTTATTATATGTTTTGTAATATTATTTACACAATGTGTATATTTAATTTGAATTACAAATGTTTGCTTTGCTTACGTGTAACATTGACTTGTTTCAAAATCTTGCAAGAATTGCTCCCACAAGAACAAAAATGGAAATATCTTCATCCCAAAGTGACCCAAGACTCAGGATGGTACAGGTGCATGCTGAACCTACTTTCCACACCTGAAGAGTGGGGGACAATATAGTATTGAGATCAGAGAAAAAGTTACATCACTGGATGATCAAGAATTTGGAATAATGCATGGATACCTTCATGGATGAGATGCTTAGCTTCCAACAAGACAAGATAGAAAAATAAAAACGGTCAAAAACACCACAAGTCTTCAAGCTCTTTTTAGATATTCATAAAAAAACCACTGTATTTTGGAAAGACTTCACACCTTAATGGTTTCTCCCTCATGCTTAAAAGTATAAGTTTCTTATTCATAGCTAGGCTTATTCTAAATATATATTAGTTTTATTAAGTACTGCAATCAATCTCTTACAGGCTAAAAATTTCTCCTCTATTTTAAGATTTAATTTACATGAAAACAGCACGCTTCCTCTATGCATGAAGTTAACTTACGAATGAAAGAGCCTCAAGTTTAGACTACTGCCTTATTAACCAATTTGCAGGTCCTTCCTGAAAATAGGTAATTTGCAAGAGTCTTAATCTCAGTACAAAATAAGAACAATACTAATAATAATAGTAATAATAATAAAGACTTTATTTAGAAAAAGTAACTCAGTTACAGAACATATCAACCTTGAGGCCTTCTAGCTGTTAGGATTGGCTACATCATGCTGAGAACATAATGCCTATCATATGGGCACATTAGGGACCCTTAACTTGGATTGACCTGATTGTGGATTGAACCTAAGACCCTTGTACTACAAGTCCCACTCACAACCATGTTCTCCAAAATCTGGAATTGGAGTCAGATTGTTTATGCAATGACACAATAGGCAACATCTGCATTTATTCATAACAATAGAGAGAGTCCTGTGGCAATCTTGGCAAACTAATTAGAAAAGAAGAGTTACTTATATAAAACATTATAACAGGAAAAGTAAACCACTGAATTAATTTTAGCAAGATCACAAGTATCCTTGAAGATGAAATACCTCATTACATTTCAAATAAAAATTAGTATTTATTTTCATGTATTATAAATGCATATTAAGTGAATGGAAAAATTTGTACACTAGTCCCCACTCTTATATGGCCACCCCTTCTGCACCGGGAAAGTGGCCTTATAAGGCGAGTGACTTTCCAGAGGGGGACTAAATTTTTTGTGAGAAGTATATGTAATGTAAGAAGTAAGAAAGCTTCATTTTTTAAATCATATATCTTCATTAAATAGCAACATTAATTATTGGATGGTTCTTGTTATTATAATAATTGACTTATTTCAATTGAATATGCATTAATAGTTCTTATTCTTGACAAAAGCGTGATATGCGAGGGGATGTTTTTGTCAAGCACATTGCAAAACCATTCAAAAACGTCATTTATAGTTTGGAACATATGCGATTCTCTTTCCATTTGCTCCATTTTCCCACTGCTGCTGAATAAATTCCTTATCGGTTATGATGTTGTTTATTCGAGTCTTTTTAACATAAAATTGTTTTATTTGAGTCTTTTCTACCTAAATTTGTTTGACAAGGTCCTCCCCTCTGATGTCATAGACTATAATAACCGACTTTTTCTGAAAAAATCATCTCCATTTATGTGATACATGTTAATGTTTGGTAATGATTTATTTGGATGTTGCTATCTGTATGCAATTTAATTATGCAGATGAAACATTTGTTGAGTGGACGAAATGCTTTCGTAAAGGAAGCAACAAGTGTGTTGTCATGTGATTTTCAGTCTTTGTCTGGTACCCTGCTTTGTTCTATTTTTAGCCACTGCTGACCCTCTTAATTTAACAATTACGACTGGTTATAATCATCAATTGCAACTACAAGACTGATAAAATAATTCTTTCCATTTTAAGATTCTCACATAAAATCTGTATTAAGATAAATGACTAAGTCCCAAAACTCTATGTTATCACTAGAAATAATTATATCTACAGAAATTCATGCAAATTTTAATGTAACTTGTTTTACTTTGCAGAACAGAAATGTTAACTTTACTCTGCTCAACTGTACATGTTGGTATGAAGAAAGTTCTACACATAAAAGTTGTTCTTAACTAAGACCAATAGCTCTTAAAAATGATATAACTTTGTATAAAATGGACTGAATTTTTGTATTTACTCTGTTTATGTACAGCTGATGCACTAACATTTGCTCCCAATGTAATCTAACTATAAACCATGTATTAGTCATTGTCAAGAACACGCATAGCTTAAGATGCTGCACTGAAATTTGCCACAAAAATCTGTAGACTCTAACTACTGTACACCAATCCCAAAATAACTTGCACCTGGATAATTTGCAAACCTGCTTATTATGCTGGGTCAAATATGAATCCAATTCTTTTAAACTAGAAAAAAAATGGCAACTACTCATATGAACATGAAGAAAATGACAAACAAAATTGGAAAATGAAACCCTGAAAATGGTAGTAACTGGAAATTGTAATCAACATCATCAAATTTTAAATCTTTCATAAGAATTAATGTTTTTCGTAATTTTCTTATAAAATAGCATTATCAGTATACTAAAAATAATGATACATGTATTCAATAAAATATTAATCAATGAAAATGTCACCCATGTCTATTGATGGCCACACTTTAAAAAATTACCAATTAAAGAAGCTTTGTAACATGAATTTCATGTTTCAGTTCTATATTTAAATTTAGTTTCAGTGTAATTATAAAAAAATATGTCCTCATCTACTGAAATGGGAAAAATGTCAATCTACCATTATTCTGAAATCCACAGGCATTTTTGTGAGAAAAAAATTAAATGCCAACCATGTTTTGATCTCCAACTTGCTGAAGTATTCATTGGACTACAAAAGTTTTTCTTGGAGTGTTACACTTGATGACAAGCAGTCCTGCTTTGTATTGTCATATTAACTACAACTTTTGTATGAAATAAAATGGTGGTGAGGGTGGAAGTGGGTGAAATCAAGAAAAATGTAAAGGCATGCAAATCCTATCTGGGTAAGAGTTAGTGGTCATGGTCACATCAGGTCAATTCAATTCAAATGATTAATCAAATAACAAATATTATGATGCCAGTAACATATTTAATCTACCTCATATTAGGCTGCTCATTCACATGTGATCACCACTCTGGTGGCTTAGTGGTTAGAACATCAGCCTCAGATGTGGGAGGTCATAGGTTCAATCCCCAGTCGAGTCATACCAAAGACTTACAAAAATGGTACTAACAACTGCTTCACTTGATGCTCAGCATTAAGAGGTTAGTGTTATGACTGGTTGGCCTGGTGTCAGGATAATATGACTGGGAGGGACATCATGCTACATGTCTGCAGAATATTATCCCAGTGCTAGACATCACTATAAACTGCCACACTGCAGACATCATAGCAATATGATTTAAAAATTGTTAAAGCTACGGTAAAAATCATAATCACATCACATCACATCACACGTGATCAAAGATAGCATGGCAACTAAATGAACTGAGTACATGGTCAATAAAAAGCTTATTATGGAGAAATGAGTTCTGAGTTTGTAGTGAACTTAAAATTCCTCGGAAGCTTTCTCAAGGATTAGAATTATGTGGTGCGTGGGGAAGTTAAAACTAATTATGCAAAATTTAATATTGTTCAACATTTACACTTTTATTCTGAAAAACCACAATCCATTTGATGTGAATACATTTCCAGAGTGGAGAACTGACCACTAATTTACCTGACATGATCAGTTGTTTTGTTGTTGTGGCGCTTAATGCCTATTTTCAGCACACGATAGGCTATACATGGCAGCTAGTATTAATGGTGGAGGAAGAAACGGGAAAATCCCCAGAAAGAACCACCTACCCACAAGAAGCTACTGGCAAGCTTTCTCACATATCTGCATTCGCCGAATCTTAGACTCAAACCCATGCAGACAGGTGAGATGGCAGTGATCTTTAGAGAGCGCTTTAGACCACTCGGCCACTCAGGGCCCCTACCTGACATGATCATGCACAATAGTCATATTTTTAATACATAATCATGTCAGAACATTATGGGATGGAAAGAGGTCATTCAGCAATAGCAGCAGGATAAATTTTACATCATATTCCTGCAAACAGATGCCTAACTCAACGGTTCATAGGGATCTTGGTTAAAGACCATACAACAATATAATGCCATCAGGGCATGAGAGAGCAGCAGACAGGTCTCTGCAGCTCATAAAACCTATGAAGTCTGCCCAGGTACAAATCTTAACAAGTGATATCCCTCAAGAGAATTTAATTATGTTGGAAATGGTAGCTCTATAGTTCTTGATAGTGGACATTGAACATCACAAACAGAAATCAGCAACAGAGTTATAAAGAGGCATAAAAAATCAATGTGTTTCTAACTGTACTAGAAACAGAAGGCACCTGGCATCAAGATCTCAAATGCAGATGCTCTCCTGGTTTGAATGAACTTGAAACTCAGCCCCAAATTTGTTCTGGCAGAGAAAATGCTTTAAGTAAGTCAAGCCTGACTAAAGAAATGTAAAAGGGAAGTATGGTGTAGAGTCTGGTCACAAACACACCTACTAATGGGCTTCTCCCTGGATGGAAAGGTGAAGACCATTATGTGACGACAGTTCTGCCTATCCTGGACAGGCCATCTGCAATGTGTTCTTCTTTCTGCGAATGTGACAGTCTCATAAGGTGAAGTTCTTCAAGGTGGCCCAGAAGAAGCGATCACAGATGTCCATAGAAAGTGAAGGGGCATGTGTGCATGATATTGTAGATATGTTGTGATACAAGTGTTGTTTCAGGAGACCATGACACATCAACACCATGAAGGGGCAATCCAGCCAATATCCAAAGACCCTGGAGAATTATTTCCTCTGGCTCTCAATCAGCAACCCAAACTCAAATTTGATGAGTCAGAAAAGATAAGTGAGGGTAGGGTGAATGCATGAGGACCCCATTATGAATCTATCTCTGTTCATTCAACAGCACAAAAAGTAATTAAAACTTTGTCTTAAAGGCATCAGGACTGAGAGACAATCTGTGTGGTTTCTACCTTGCAAGAAGGTGAAATTATTGATTGTGCGTAGGTAGATATTCTATGGGAACCAGTTTAATATTACCAAATGGGATAGGTAAAGGCAAGCAGACAGCAAAATTTTGCTCTTAGCACCTCTTAGAGTGCCAGAATTTGATCAATCCAATCCAGCAGAAGCTGCTTTATGATAAAGTTCATCCCCACACAAATGAGATCCGAGATGGTCTTCTAACTTCTTGAGGATGGGTAAAAGACCTAGCCAAGTTACAGCAGACGAAACAGATCCCGAGGAAGAGACTTAATCTGAACATTGAGGATCAGATGGTTTTAATAATACTGGATAATAAGTGTTCCTAGTAATATATTGTGCTGATGTGCCAAGAGTGTGAATATCTTGATCTGCAAACAGTCTTGATGGATGACAATAATGTACTCTAAAATGCATTTACATGAATTCAGAGAAATTCCATAATAGTTACTTAGTCCTGAAGTTTATGAGCATCTTGTAATTCCGATGACTAATTGAAATAAATAATCCTCTCAAATAATAATTTAATACAACTAAATGACTCCACTAAAACTATTGTTTAAGATAGGGTAATTAATTCTCATGTAAAGATCATTCTCATAACTCTGGCAATAACTGATTGTGGAAAAAATTCTGAATTGAAAATCCAAGAACATGAAAATTTCCTGATTTAAGTAAAACCTTAAGCATTTGCATTGTGTGGAGGATGTGCATGCAGGCATCCTAAAGGTCAATGGGGATCACATAAACAATTTTTATTTCAGATTAAAGGTCAATGGGAATCACCCAGTCTCATGGACAAATTGTGTTCCAGATTGAGCTTGTGATTTCTGTCTTGAAAAGTTCCTCCACAAGATGGTTTTAAGGGACAGATCAATTACAACACAAAACTTCCACCTTTCTTTGTAGCAGCAAGATCCAGGATAAAATGATGGAGACTGAATGTACAGGGTATGCACCTCCTCCTTCAATTTCACCAGACTGGATTAGTGAAAAAATGGGGGAAGGGGAGTAGCAGGCCTGGCTTGACTAGTGAAAGAATGGGGGGGGGGACTTGATGGATAAGATAATTCCTGAAACTATAGTTGGCAACCCTTGCTCATTATGGAAAAGACCCAACCATTGTCTGTGATACTTAACTAATCCTCTGAAAATAGGTGTAAGTGAACACCTATGGGAGGTATGCACAGGGTCAGACTCATGTCCCTATTGCTGCCCTCCCTCTTCTATTGGTAGGAAAGGAAGGTGGGTTAGGGAACTTTCTCCTCGGGCTCTGTGTCATCTACATGTGCACCATAAAGCCAAATGATGAAGAAGTGGTATAGTTTGAGGCTGCATATTGGACTGGAGCTGCATCTATTTGAAAAAACATGGCAGATTGCCTGAGGGCAATTCTCTTTAACATGCATCCTGGCTGATTGTAATGCGCCAGAAGCATTTACAGAGAATCAATGTTGCTGAAGCTGCAAATATTCAGAAGCCACATTTGGGATGATTCCTTTACTGAAGTTCTTGGCTTTGGATGCAGCAGCTCTTTGAAGGTCATTACTGTATTTACTTAAGACCTTTGAAGGTCATTACTGTGTTTACTTAAGACCTTTGAAGGTCATTACTGTGTTTACTTAAGATCTTTGAAGGTCATTACTATGTTTACTTAAGACCTTTGAAGGTCATTACTGTGTTTACTTAAGCTCTTTGAAGGTCATTACTGTGTTTACTTAAGACCTTTGAAGGTCATTACTGTGTTTACTTAAGCTCTTTGAAGGTCATTACTATGTTTACTTAAGACCTGAGGAGTTTTATGCAACATCATGACAGAGGTCTAGGAATTCCACCAACAATGCCATTGCAACAGAAAGGGCACATATATAAAACAGACAGCTGAGAAGAGGCCAGTGCATGGGAGGATGCAGTATAAGGTGCACAACATCCTTAGTGGGAGGGAGCAATATGAAGTCATGGATATGAGGTACACAACCGCCCTAACAGGAGGGAGCAATATGAAGTCATGGATATGAGGTACACAAAAGTCCTAACAGGAGGGGGCAATATGAAGTCATGGATATGAGGTACACAACCGCCCTAACAGGAGGGAGCAATATGAAGTCATGGATATGAGGTACACAAAAGTCCTAACAGGAGGGGCAATATGAAGTCATGGATATGAGGTACACAACCGCCCTAACAGGAGGGGGCAATATGAAGTCATGGATATGAGGTACACAACCGCCCTAACAGGAGGGAGCAATATGAAGTCATGGATATGAGGTACACAACCGCCCTAACAGGAGGGAGCAATATGAAGTCATGGATATGAGGTACACAACCGCCCTAACAGGAGGAGGCAATATGAAGTCATGGATATGAGGTACACAACTGCCCTAACAGGAGGGGGCAATATGAAGTCATGGATATGAGGTACACAACCGCCCTAACAGGAGGGAGCAATATGAAGTCATGGATATGAGGTACACAACCGCCCTAACAGGAAGGAGCAATATGAAGTCATGGATATGAGATACACAACCGCCCTAACAGGAGGGAGCAACAAGCTACAGAGGCATGAAGCAAGCAGTGCACCACCTTCCTGCTACTCTGAATGTGTAACATTTCAAAGGGAGACAATCAACTTTTCAAACATTCTGTCCCTCCTCCTGAAGGGACCTCACAAGCCACCAAAGAAGTTAGTCTCATAAACTGCTTGGATCCCGAAGTGCTCTACAGGGCTGAAGAGCTAAGCGCCTCACCTTTGGAGTCAGCAAAGGAAAAACCCAAATATTCCAAAGATATGAGAGGAGGAAGCTGCCTCCACTGCCATTTGATGCAGCTGGAATCAGCTAAGATTCCTGGTTTCAGAAACCGTAATTTTCAGTTAAAAGGTTATATCTTGATGGAAAAAATGAAAAATGTTCATATTGCACAAGGTATAGCTATGTTTTTGTGTGAATTTGAAGCAATAGATGCAGTCTGATAGTTTCCAAGACTGTCCTGAAATTATGCTGAAATATGAAATAATGGTACACATAACCTCACCTGGTTGTATGCAGTGGATGCACAAGGTAAATAAATGAATGACCCATTTCGTTTAGTAAAGTAAGATGCTTTCTCACTGTTGTAACCATTCATTGCAGAAGAAATGCAGAATGAGGAAAAATG